ATTTATGTCAGATCTGGCCCTCATAACAAATGAGTTCGACACTCCTTATATGGAGAGTTAGCGTCTTTCTAAGCCAATTTACCGACACACCATGAACCCTCCATAAGTGTCAGCGTGGCACTGAGACTCAGAGACAAAAACGTCAAGTCAGGTGCTTGAAGGACATGGCCATTGCCCAGAGGAGAGGAAATGCCTGAGAACGGAAGTTCAGTTAATGTCATATCGAAAAGGGAAGCAAACGCCTGTCATTGTCGGTTCCATCCAGGACATTGTTTCCAAAGCACAGCTCTTGTCTGATGACAGATCAAGGCAGTTCCTCCGACATGAGCCCACTCCAGGGACCTGTTATGTGATGATTCCTATCACAGTCCTTGCCAGTCTTTGCAGGAGGCGAGACAGGTTGGTAGCAGTGTAAGCTGAGTGAGTGTGAGCTAGCTCACAGTTTTTTAGCCTCCGGCTCACACATTTTTGTCTTAGCTCAGGGAGGATACCTCCAGAGCAACATAATTTATGCAGTGGCCAAATCGCTGGCTCACAACTTTAATGCCTAATAGCTCACAAAGTAGAATTTTTGCTCACAAGACTCCACATCTTAGAGGGAGCACTGATTGCTAGCTGGTAGAATTGTTCTAGTCCATTCCACTCTTTGCTTGGGATGTGGGGTGGGAAATGCATGGCCCTACATGACACATAATTCTGTGTGCCGTTCAAATATGTTGATGTACAGTCAATCCTAAAAGAAATCAACCCTGATTGTTCCCTGGAAGGCCAGATAATGAAACTGAAGCTCAAATACTTTGGTCACCAAATGAGAAGGGAGCACTCACTGGAGAAGACCCTGATGCTGGGAAAGATTGAAGGTCAAAGAAGACGGGGACGGCAAAGGATGAGATGGTTAGACAGTGTCATAGATGCAACAAACATGAAATTGAGCAAACTTCAAAGGACGGCGGAAGACAGGAGGGCCTGGCGTGATCTGGTCCATGGGGTTGCGAAGAGTCGGACTTGACTGTGCGACTGAACAACAACGGACCAATCAAATCAAATCTTGGAAGCTAAGCAGTGTTGGCCCTAGTACTTGGATGGGAGACCACCATGGGAGTCAAGGGTTGCTATGCAGAGGCAGGCAATAGCAAACCATTTATGTTCGTCTCTTGCCTTGAAAACCCTACTGGATCACCGTAAATTGAGTGCGACTTGATGGCAAAATAAATCAATACATAATGGATTGTTGAAGTGGTATTATCTTTTCCCAGTTCAGCCACATGATTGTTTCACCAGTCCTAACTCTAGGGCTCTGAAAGCAAGGCTGGGTGAACTCTTGATTTCTGTGAATTTAAAGAATTGGCTATGGGGAACCATATATATTTTTTGCTTGCTTGTTTTTAAAAGAACAGGTTCTAGTCCTCATTGCTGCCTGTGTGACAGCACATAATGAAGGCTCAGACATACAGTCGCCAGCTCTGCGTTGGGAAATTCCTGGAGATTTGCGGGGAGGAGCCTGTGAAAGGTGGGCTTTGGGGAGGAGCCTCAGCAGGGTGTAATCCCACACAATGCATCTTCCAGACCAGAGCAGCCACTTCCTCCAGTTTGGTGTAGTGGTTAAGTGTGCGGACTCTAATCTGGGAGAACCGGGTTTGATTCCACGCTCCTCCACTCGCAGCTGCTGGATGATCTTGGGCAAGCCATAGTTCTGACAGAGGTGTTCTTGAAAAAGAGCAGTTTCTGTCAGAGCTCTCGCGGCCCCACCTACCTCACAGGGTGTCTGTTGTGGGGAGGGGAAGGGAAAGGAGTTTGTGAGCTGCTCTGAGACTCCAAGTGAAGGGTGGGGTATAAATCCAATCTCCTCCTCCTCCTCCTCCTCTTCTTCTCTGAGCTCTGTCATGTGGAGATCAGATGAAATTCTGGGAGATCTCCAGGCTCCATCTGGAGGTCCAACCCCATGCAGACACCAAAGAGGGCGGAGCCCGACAGTGCCAGAGGGTCAATGGAGCCTTTCCGCTATGGCACCTCCATTGGGGCATTCTTTTTGTTGTTGTAGTCATCGCTTCTGCCTTCCCTCTGCCCACATGGGATGGCCAACTCTGGGTTTGGAAATATCTGGAGATTTGAGGGTGGAGCCTGGGAGGGTGGGGTTTAGGGAGGCGAGGGGCCTTGGTAGGGTAGAACGCCATACAGTCACTTTCGAAAGCAGCCATTTTCTCAAGGAGAAGTGGAACAACGGTTTTAAGTAAACCAATAAATAAGAAGCAATCTATGTAGTCTGGAGACCAGTTGTAATTCTGGGAGATCTCCAGCCCTCACCTGGAGAATGGCTACTCTACAGCCACAGTCAGGGCCGGCTCCAGCTTATTTTGCACCCTAAGCGAGGATCCTTTCTGCCCCCCCCCCCGTGCGCACACCAATTTTCAAAAATAAATGCATTTTAGGAAGAATGAAAAACACAAATAATCAAGAAACTCCCAGAGTACGGGGCCGGGTGCAGTTTGGTGCCCCTACGGGCCGTCCCGCTCTAGGCATTCGCCTAGTTCGCCTAGTGAGTGAGCCGGCCCTGGCCACAGTATCAAAGCAATCTTGATGCCATCATGGGTATGATTCGACCAAGATCTCTCTGGCATGGTAGCTTAGCGAGGCGGGGCTTGTTCGCAGCTACAAACACTTCAAACTACTTAGACTACTGTAACGCTCTCTACATGGGGCTGCCCTTGTCGCAAATCCGGAAGCTACAGCTAGTGCAGAATGCCGCAGCCAGGCTCTTGATGGGCCTCCCTAGATGGGAGCACATCTGGCCGGTGCTGAAGGCACTGCACTGGCTGCCAATAGCATACCGAATTAGCTTCAAGGTGCTGGTACTCACCTTTAAAGCCCTATATGGCCAGGGTCTGGCATACCTGAAGGACCGCCTTTCCCCATATATACCCCAGAGAGCACTACGGTCGGGCTCACAACATCGACTGATTATTTCAGGCCCTAAGGATACCAGGCTCCCTGTTACTAAGGCCAGGGCCTTTTCTGTGGCGGCTCCTTACTGGTGGAATGAGCTCCCAGAAGAGATCAGGGCCCTGCAGGACCTCATAGTTCTGCAGGGCCTGTAAGACGGAGCTCTTCCACCAGGCCTTCAACTAGGAGCCACCCACCACTACCACCAACCATTACTACTAGTAACATCTGTGGTAGTGGGTTGGCCCTGCATGGAGATGGAGCCATAGCAATGTGGGACACTGGAATACCACTGAATTGGGTTTTCAGTATTACATTTTATAGCACGCCACCTTTAATTTACTGAAGGAATGACCACTATTGCGAGCACTTTGTTAATTGTTTATGGTATGATTGTTTTAACTCCTTTTTAAATGTTTTATGCTGATTTGGCATGTGCTGCCAATAAATGTGAGCCGCCCTGAACCCGTTCGCGGGGAGGGCGGGATGCAAATGCAATAAATAAATAAATAAATAAATAAATACAGAGAAGAATCTCCATGCAAGAGTAAAGACCGTGGCACCGGAATGGCTTTTTGTTGTTGCTGCTGCTGCAGAGTTTGTATGAAGAGGAGGAAAGCGACACCAGTGAACCAGAGGCAGAGAAAGCAGCAGCGTTCTGTGCATACTCTAAATCTGCTGGTTCTAACTGGGAGCCAAAAGGAGTGATGAGTAGTCAGAACATTTGCTTGGAATAAGGAAATAGTGGTGCTGGGGAAACCCGCTCCTCCATATATAAACCCTGGAAGATGCTGAAGGAAGTCCAATTTCCATTGTCTCCCATCCCCACCCCCAATATTTCTCCAAACACCTTGATATTCTTTGAAAAAAACAATCTTAAAAGCAGAACAAATTATGTACCGCTGTTATGTATTGGGCTGGAATCTCCCAGGTCTGTCCATAACAGACGGGCTGAGCTTGAAGCTCTGGAACAATAGACCACCAGGATTCTAGGTAACCAATGAGAAGGCAGTGTTATGCAAATAGAGGTAACCAGGGCTATTTTGGGGCAGGAACACACAGGAACGGAGTTCTGGCTGGCTCCCGAGTTGGCCACGCCCAGCAGGAACTCATTAGCATAATAGGCCACACCCAACAGCAGAAACTCATTAGGATTGGCTACATTAGGGGTGTGTGACCTAACATGCAAAGGAGTTCCTGCTACAAAAAAAGCCCTGGCTTTTGACAACAAACAAGGTAAACAGAATAAGAAGCAAAAAGTGGGTGTGGCTGGATGACCACACTTCTGGTAACGTGGGGGTGAGGCCTAATGTGCTAATGAGCTGTGCTAGCAGGGGTGTGGCCTAATATACTAATGAGTTTCTGGTGTTGGGTGTGGCCTATTATGCTAATGAGTTCCTGCTGGGCTTTTTCTACAAAAAGAGCCCTGGCTCAGGTAACCAGTGATGAGACAATGTTATGCAAATAGCCTATCGTTGGGAGTGTGGTGTGTTCGAGTGTGGTTTTTACATGCTACTTAAACAGGGCAGTTGCCCTGGAGTCTTCAGTCTTGTTCCTGGAATCACTTAATAAAGTAGAGCTGTTCACTGCAAGGCATCTTGAACCCAGTATTCATCAACCACCAAGCATTTTTGCATCATTTATTTGTCTTGTAGAATCTCAGCTTCAGACATTCAAAGTTTCCTAAGTTCAGGATATACACAGCTGTTTTAAACTCCCCTTGCACCCTCCCAGATGAGCAGCAAGGATCTGTATTATATCACAAGATATCCATAGGGCTGGATCCAGCCAGCTTTTCTATGGGAAGATGGGACCCCCTTGAAACCCCGGGAATACTGCTATACTATCATGGGACTTGCATGGGGATGGGGACTACAGTAAGGAGTGAGGGAAACAGCTGGCCGGATCCAAACCATATTTTTTTAAAAAAACCCACACAGAATGATACAGGATGGGAAGTCATTCTACTCCGGGAATTCCATAAACTGTCCCTGGCAAGCTATTTGGATCACCTACCAATGGCACGGTAGAAATAATTTCCTCCCATTTTTTTTTTTTTAAAGTTCCTAACTTTGCAAACTTTCCCATTCCCTTTATAGCTATTTTAGGTGAGCAACTTTTCATTTTTTGGCAAGCAAAGCATCCCTCCAGGAAATTGTGTCGGATCTCCGTGGGCCAGCAAGTCCACATCCACTGTTTCCACGGGTCATCTTCCATGGTCTATACATGAGGAGAGATGCTCAGAAAGGGGAAAGCGATCTTCTGATTTTATTTTGTTCTTTGTCGATCTTTAGGGCCTGGGGAAAGAGATGGAGGAGGAGTTGGTTGGATGAAATCTGCTTCACTTTACTTGAAATAGGCTGTCTACAGAAGGTTAAAGAAGTGTGAGAAAACCAGCCTCAGCTCCCTGCAGCATTGGGGTTACGAGTGGTAAAGGGGCAATGCGGAAAGTAGTGGGGAGAACAGAACTACAGTTGGTAAAACAGGGTTGCTGTGGAGGTGGGGGCAAATAGAGCTACAGATGGGGAAAACAGTGATACATTGAGAGCAGGGGGGGAATTAGGGTTGCCAGACCCCCAGTGGAGGTGGGGGTCCCTGCCCCCCCATCTGTCAATCAGCTGGCTGGCAGGGGGAGTTACCAGTAGAAAGAAGAAAACTAGACCACATTGCCTGTGTTGCACAGGAAATGACATCATCACGTCAGTGACTTCCGGGTGACAATCCAGCATTTGGGCAAAAACCCTGTAGTAGAAGCTGATTTTAGCATAGAGTCTTCGTCCAAATACAGAGCGTCAGTGGCGTGATGGCGTCATTTCCTGTGCGACGCTGGCAACGAGGCCTCTGCCCTTTTCTGCTGGTAAGTCCACCCCTCCAGAGTTACAACTGGTGGAACAATTGCCCAATAAATGGGGGAGAAGCGGGGATGCCAAATCCAGTTTGGGAAACAACCTGAGATTTGGGGGTGGAGCCTGTGGACGGTGGTGATTGTGGAAGGAAGGAAGCATGATATAATCCCATAGAATCCTCCCTCCAGGAGAACTGATCTCTGTAACCTGAAAGTCGGTCAACAGGAGATCTTCAGGTTCCACCAGTAAGTTGGGAACCCTAGAGAGAAGGGATCAGGGATGGAGGGACCCCTGAACCCTGTGCCCTAAGTCACATAAAAACCTGCAGCCGGTCCACCTCAGGCCTGTCTCCTGGTCGGTGTGACAGCTGCCTTGGGTCGTACTTACGAGTACCTGCCCGACATTTTCTTTGCGACTGTGATGATGATCCCGGTGACCACACCGATTGCGACGACGATCCCAACGATGATCCCAACCAGCGTCGCTGTTTCCAGACCATCTAAAGAGAGCCAGAAGGCAGCCAAGTTGAGTGGTTGCTATGGTGGTACATTGAGAACAACAGAGCTAGGCAACACGGAGGAGATCGACGGCTAGGTGTTGGGAGAAAATCTTACAACGTCTCCTGAAGCAGCCACGCGGTTTGAATCGGGGCCATGGTGCTGGGTCAGGATGGGGTGGAGGCGAACCGTTTCCTCCTTGCACCATTCCCCAGGAGGAAGTGGGAGAGGCTACGTACTGCCATGAAGTCAACTCTCCAAAGCAGTGATTTCCTCCAGGGGAACTGAACTCTGGCGTGTGGAGATGGGTTGTAATTCCAGGAGATCTCCAGGTCCCACCAGGAGGTTGGCAACCATAATTCCCTGGATGACTTGCCATTTCAGATCACTAGGGTGGCCAGCTCCGGGTTGGGAAATACCTGTAGATTTTGAGGGTGGAGTCTGAGGAGGGTGGGGTCTAATGCCATAGAGTCCACCTTCCAAAGCATCCATTTTCTCCAGTTGAAGTGATCTCTGTCTCCTGGAGATCAGTTGTAATCCCAGGAGATCTGCAGCCACCACCGGGAGATTAAGGTCGAAGCCAAAAGTGAGAGACCACGGGAGGAGATGGGAGCCCAAACAAAACATCCGTGACAAAAATAATGAAGAGTCAATAAATATATATGCGCAATTGTTTACTATAAAAATAATGCTGTGGGAAACTCTCTTCTTTTATCGCTCCCAAGCAATGGATTTTGCGCAATAAAAACATCCGTTTCGCCAGGATTCCTTAATCTGAGTCTGTAGTTCTGATCAATTTCCACTTATCAACTCTTGAAATAAACATCCCATGTTGACTCTCTGCAGGGCTTTTTTTGTAGACAAAGCCTAGCAGGAACTCATTAGCATAATAGGCCACACCCAACAGCAGAAACTCATTAGCATATTAGGCCACACTCCTGACAACATCGCTCATTAGCCTATTTGGCCACACCCCCATGTTACCAGAAGTGTGCTCATCCAGCCACACCCACCTTTTGCTTCTTATTCTGTTTACTTTGTTGTCAAAACTCAGGGCTTTTTTTGTAGCAGGAACTCCTTTGCATGTTAGGCCACACCCCCTAATGTAGCCAATCCTAATGAGTTTCTGCTGTTGGGTGTGGCCTATTATGCTAATGAGTTCCTGCTGGGCGTGGCCAACTCGGGAGCCAGCCGGAACTCCGTTCCTGTGCGTTCCTGCCCAAAAATAGCCCTGACTCTCTGATATCAGAACCCAAGGTCTTCACAATGAAACCAACTAATTCATTGTATTACAATTATTCTAGTAAATTTTGCATACATATGTATTGACTCTTTGTTATTTTTGTCACGGAGGTTTTGTTTGGACTTCCACCACCTGGAGTTTGGCAGCTCTGTGGAGATCACCCATTCAAGGACTCGCTGAACAAAGGTGAGCTTCCTTTCTGGGCTGACCTTCACTGGAATGAGACACCGCCGGGGGTTAGCTGGGCTTCCTCTATCTGACTGCCCCAACAAATAGAAGCAGGAAGCTGAGGCTACCAGTTCTGCTGCAGAGAACCTTTTGTTGTTCTTACTGTTTGCTTTTTAACGGTAGAAGCTTAACTTTCTGTTTCACGGGGAGTTCTTTCCACTGCGTCCAGCACTTTGGTTGCTGTTCTTTCGGGGACTGGGTTCCCGTTTGCCTTGCAAAGTCGGCGAGACACCTTGCCTGTCCTCCGAGCTTGCAAGAGGCGAGAATTCTTTCAGGCTGCCTCTGACCTTCTCGGGTGCCCCACGCAAAACGAGAACGGTCTGGTCAGCAGCCTCTTTGCCAGGCAGCTTCGGTGGGCCTTAACAAGTGCCTGACCTCACCACTTTCTGGAGGCCAGCCGGCCTCCTCGCCTGGTGTTCCTGATGCTGACTTTTAACTTGGACTGGATTTCACCTGCGTTTGGATCAGGCCGGGATTAATCTCCCTGGCCCATATCCTATAAAGACCCCGAAAGCTTGGGATATAGCAGGCATGCGTCAGGAACATGTACATGCAGGATCACCGGAGACAGCCATTACGGTATCTGGGTCACGCTCGGTGTGGCAATTATAGACCCTTTTCTTTAAAGATGGATCTGCTCTGAAAGGGGAGGCAGAGGTGATTTTTAAAGCGGAACTTCCTGCTGCTTTATGTCCCAAGATACTGTGTTCTGCAAGGTTCCCCCACTCTGGGTAGGGAAATTCCTGAAGATCTGCAGGATGGGTCTGAGGATGAACGGGACCTCAGCCGGCCATAATGCCATACGGTCAGCTGCCCCTTACACAGTGGCCAACTTGGCTTCGGGAATATATGACAGTAGTAAAATAGGATAATCATTTGACATCATTTGATCTATCAGTGGCTCCTAGCCATGGTGACTGAGGGGAACCTCCACATTCAGGGGCAGTCAACCTCTGAATCCCAGAGCCAGGAGGCAACATCAGGGAAAGACCTCGGCCTCTGTGCCCTGTCGTTGGTCCTCCAGAAGAACTGGTTGGCCATTGTGTGAGACAGGATGCTGGACTGATCCAGATTATGTTCTCATCCAGATTATGTTTTTATGATCTGATCCAGATTATATTCTTATGATAAGTCTATCAATGGCTGCTAGCCATTGTGACTAAGGGGAACCTCCACATTCCGAGGCACTAAACCTCTGAGTCTCAGAGCCAGGAGGAAACATCAGGGGAAGGCCTTGGCCTCGGCCTCTGTGCCCTGTTGTTGGCTCTCCAGAGGAACTGGTTGGCCACTGAGATGGGATGCTGGACTAGATGGACCATTGGCCTGATACAGCAGGGTTCTTCTGAAGTTCTTATTATGTACATACACAGTTCCCAGTAGGGTTGCCAGCCTCCAGGTGGGGCCTGGAGATCTCCTAGGGTTGCCAACTCTGAGTTGGGAAATACTTGGAGAGTTTGAGGGTGGAGCCTGGGGAAGACGAGGTTTGGGGGAAGGGAGGGACTTCAGCAGGGTATGATGCCGTAGAGTCCACCCTCCAAAGCAGCCATTTTTCTCCAGGGGAAGCTGATCTTGGTCACCTGGCGATCAACTGTAATAGCGGGAGATCTCCAGGTGCCACCTGGAGGTTTGCAACCCGAAAATCTCCTGCTGCAACAACTGATTCCCAGACAATAGAGCTCAGTTCCCTTGGAGAAAATGGCTACTTTGGAGGGTGGACTCTACGACATTGTGCCCTGCTGAGCTCTCCCCCCCCAACCTCCCCACCCCAGGCTCCAGTCCCTAAATCTCCAGGCATATCCCAACCGAAAGTTGGCAGCCCTGCCTCCCAGCTACCTGTTTTGTTGCCTGCCAGTCCCTGGCCTCCAGAGACAATCGCTTTCTTTATGGGAGGGATGTGTAAGGGATGAGGGCTGAACGAGCCTATAATTTGCTGAGCCCCGATGATTGGAAGGGGGCCATGAGTTTGACAGGATCCATCCTTGGAGGAGGAAGGTAGCCTGGTGGGGGCAGGGGTCATTTTGTAAAAAAAGAGGTGCAGGAGCTCATTAGAATAACTCATTAGCATAACCTATTTGCATATGCCATACCCCCTGACATCACCGGAAGTGTGTCAGAAGGCAACACCCACCGCTCCACTGGTCTGTTTTGGATTGCTAGCTATTGGAGGGGGGGGATGTGCGCTCCTGCAGGAAATGACCCCTGGGTGGGGGTAATTGCCGGCAGCTGCAAGGCTTGGTTATCTCAAGGGAGTGGCAGTAGCCCAGGTCGTTAGATGCTGATTAACCTTTCAGGAGGCACCAGAGCAATGTTCCCTCTAAGCTGTGGAGTCTTGTGAGCAAACATTCTACTTTGTGAGCTACTGGCATGAAAGTTGTGAGCGAGAGATTTGGCTACTGCATCCATCAGTTTGCTCTGGAGACCTCCTTCCTGAGCGAAGACAAAAATGTGTGAGCCAGAGGCTAAAAAACTGTGCGCTGGCTCGCACTAACTCAGCTTAGAGGGAACACTGCACCAGAATATCCTTGGACATCAGTTGATAAGCTGCCTCCGGAGATGGAACTGGGTTCTGTTCTATGGTGATTCGCTACTGAACTGTCTATGAGGACTTGTCATAGAAGAAGCTGTAGCTTCCCTTTTTAGAATTGCCAACGTACCTTCGCATTCAAATGTTTTACTGCCAACTGCTGATAGGTTGGATGATTTCTGCACTGCATACATCCTGAGTGTTTGAATGTTTTTATTCAATTCAATGAAATAAGCCTTTTAAAGATATTTGCTGTGTGCTGAGAGTTTCCTGTCTGCTGGCTAGCTACAAACGTACCTACTGAAGCGAACCCCAAGGTCAGTTGGACCTGACAGGATGCCAAGCAAGAAAGTCATGCTGAAACTAGAGAGTCATGTCCTGGTTCCGCGGGCACCTCTCCACCAAGATATCAGAGGTCACCACTGAAGCCCCTGCCATGTCACAGAGGCCTCAGGGACCACTTGGGGCCCCCCTCCCACCCCGGAGGCACTGCAGTAGCAGTTCTCTGGCTCCCTATAATCTTGACTCACCGACTGCAGAAAAGGGGTGAATTTGTGTACGAGAGGGTGTGCATGTCTGTATGTGTAAGGCGGGGCAGATAGCATGAGCATTGGTCCAGGGTTGCTATGCAGAGCCGGGCAATGGCAAACCACCTCTGGTTTGGAAACACCTGGGGTCTTTGTGAGTTGGCTGCAACTTGACGGCACACGGTTATTATAGATGGCTGCAAGCCGCCAAGGTGGTCATGCCTAAAATGTGAGGTGCGGTTCAGGCCTCAGATAGGATGGACTGAAGAAAAAGAAGAAGAAGAAATTGGATGTATACCCCACCCTTCACTACCCAAAGGAGTCTCAGAGCGGCTTACAAACTCCTTCCCCTCCCCACAACAGACACCCTGGGAGGTAGGTGGGGCTGAGGAGGAGATTGGATTTATACCCCGCCCTTCACTACCCGAAGGAGTCTCAGAGCAGCTTATAAACTCCTTTCCCTTCCCCTCCCCACAACAGACACCCTGTGAGGTAGGTGGGGCTGAGAGAGCTTTGACAGAAACTGCCCTTTTTCAAGAACAGCTGTGCAGAACTATGGCTTGCCCAAGGTCATCCAGCCAGGTGCAAGTGGAGGAGTGGGGAATCAAACCCGGTTCTCCCAGATTAGAGTCCGTGCACTTAACCACCACACCAAACATCATCTTGGGCGTTATCTAGGTAAGCTGCAGTGTAACAATTCAGTAGTGCAGCAAAATTAAACAGGAGCTCAGTTGCACCTCCAAGGTGAACAAAATTCATTCCGACATAAGTTTTTGTGAGTCATAACGCTCTCCCTGAGACCTCAGTGGGGCTATAGTACCATAGTATCCTTTGAAAGCCACCGAAGGTATATATTACCAAGCTACAGAAAAAGGTTGGGTAGCAGTGAGAAGTTACAAGGAGCGGCCAGCATACAGGACCAAGTAAGGAATAATCTGCCCATTCAGACTGGGTCAGAATCATTGCCAACTGCTGATAGACGTGCGAGGCAGGATTGATAGAAAGCCTAATTATGGAAAATGCAGTGTGAGACTTGTGAAGCAAATTCAGTAGGGCAGTACAGAGACCCCATGAAAGTACATCTGTAGAAGTTGGGTCATGCTGAGGCATTAGTAACTATAGTGAAAGAAGAGACCAAGGTCCTTATTCAAGACCCGGAGGCGGGTAGGGTTGCCAGTTCCAAGTTGGGAAATACCCAGAGATCTTGGGGATGGTGCCTGGAGAGGGTGAGGTTTGGGGAGGCGAGGGACCTCAGCTGGGTACAATCAGGGCCGGCCCTAGCTTATTTTGTACCCTAGGTGAGGATCCTTTCTGGCGCCCCCCCCCCTCGTGTGCCCACCAATTTTAAAAAATAAATCCATTTTAGGAAGAATGAAAAATATAAATAGGTGCAATAGTGGGCCAGGTGCAGTTTGGCGCCCCTAAGGGCTGGCCCACTCTAGGCGATCGCCTAGTTCACCTAGTGAGTGAGCCGGCCCTGGGTACAATGCCATAGAGTCCACCCTCCAAAGCAGCCAACTCCTCTGTCGGAACTGATCTCTATTTCCTGGAGTGACAATAACAGGAGATGTCCAGGCTCCACCGTGAGGATGGCAACCATCACTGGGGACATTTTGAGACACCCCCCCCCCGTGGTTGTGGTAGTGTTCTTATGGCTGCCGTGGTAGCCATTGCACTTGCAAGCTGTGCTGTCTCATGGCGGTAATTAGTCAGCAGTGACTCGGCAGGAAGCGACCTCGACGTGGCGGTTTCCCAGGGACTGCGGAGAGGACCTCTGCTTCATCAGGAAAGAGGACGTGATGCCACCCTCCTCTGGTTACACGAGAGAGCAGAAGCTCATTAGCATGCCTAGAGGGTCAAATAAGGATTACGGTAACCTAAGAAAGCCACTTAATCACTCGGTACCATCCCTCTGGAGTCATTTCAGACAAGCGCCTCGCTCTCATTGGTTCCTTTGGCCTGAACTGGCTGGGTCGGGACGGAATCAGGGAAGCACCAATGAGGCCAGTGAAGACTTTACGGGATGCCTCTTTGGCTGGGAGGCTAATTTGGGATGTCAACCGATACGTCGTCATCGTATTAGCTCTGCGAGTGGCAATTTGCGATCTGCCAGTAACCGAGATCAAGATTATATGTCCGAACGAAAGGCTGAGCATCGTGGACCAGTTTGGTACACAGGGCTGTTGAATTTTGAGTTGGGAGACCAGGGTTCAAGTCTCTGTTTGGGCCATGTGGCTCCTTGGTGACCCTGAGTTACATTTATTTATTTAAGATACGCATAGGCTCATTGGGTCGATTTGGAAAACAAATACAACCCAGGAAATGTGAGTAAAGGCAGGCAAACTACAGCCCCTCCACGTCTAGGAGAAGCTCAGAGCCTCTAAGACTGGAGCATTCCTCGTGTCCTTGGAAGCCTGTTCTTCAGAACAGGGGCAGAGTCCAAGAAACCAGGGGTCATTTCCTGCAGGAGCGCATAGGAGCGGAGCTCTGGCAGTAAAGAGCCCAGGGGCCGGGCACATGCAACAAGTCCCACCCCCTGCTCCCAGCAGCCCTCAGTCAGAGCAAGAAGCAGCCAGGTAAGTTGCAGAGCTCCCCCCAACCCCCTGGTCCAAAACAGTCCAGTGGCACCTTTAAGACTAAGTTTTATTCAGGTACAAGCTCTCCCTCCTCTGTGAGGGCAGATCTGCACGTCCCTCCCCCATAGCTAGCAATCCAAAACAGTCCAGTAGAGCCTGAGCGGTGGGTGTTGCCTTCTGACACACTTCCGGTGATGTCAGGGGGTGTGGCATATGCAAATAAGTTACGCTAATAAGCTATGCTAATGAGCTCCTGCACCTCTTTTTCTACAAAATGACCCCTGCAAGAAACCATGATCTTGGGTTCATGACGGGTTCTTAGTGACCTAAGTGGTGAAACTACTGATGATGAAGAAGAAGAGTCGGTTTTTATATCCCACTTTCCTCTCTGGCTTAAGGAGTTTCAAAGCGGCTTACAATTGCCTTCCCTTTCTCTCCCCATAACAGGCGCATTGTGAGGTAGTTGGGGTTTAGAGAGTTCTGAGAGAACTGGGACTGGCCGAAGGTCACCCAGCAGGCTTCATGTGGAGGAGTGGAGAATCAAATCCTGTTCTCCAGATTAGGGAATGCTGCTCTTAACCACTACACCCTGCTAGCTCTGATAGTCCTGGGTCTGATGATCAGAGCTGCCTTGTGGGAACATATGAGTGGGAGTGGTTCCTGCAGATCTGAAGGTCCCAAGATGTGAATAACTTGACTCAATCATGGAAGCACATTGGCTACCAAGGTTGCGATCTTAAAACATTGTGTGATATTTCAGGACACTTCACCCCTGGCCAGTAGTCTAGCTACTGTGTTGATGCTTCCATGTTTACTTCAAGGGATACCTAAACAGCATGATAAAAAGTAGAGACATCATCCTGCCAACAAAAGTCCGCATGGTCAAAGCAATGGTATTCCCAGTAGTCATGTATGGCTGCGAGAGTTGGACTATAAGGAAGGCCGAGCGCAGTGTCATCGATGCAACGAACATGAAATTGAGCCAACTTCAGAGGACGGCGGAAGACAGGAGGGCCTGGTGGGAGCTGGTCCATGGGGTCGCGAAGAGTCGGACTCGACTGTACGACTGAACAACAACAAATGCCCCATGTGGAGTGTGTTTCAGTAGTCAAGTCTCGAGGTTACTGCAGCACAGATTAGTGTGGCTAAGTACAAGACAGGGGAGACTTGGCCTGTTTTTCTGTCTCAGTCTCAATTATTTTATGGTGTTATTGTGGGGCAGGGAACGGGGTCACCCCATCTGGGAATGGAAGCACACCTCACCCCATGCGCCTTGGAGGAAGTATAGAAATGTGATGGGTGAACAGAATGGCAGGTAGAATAAAAGGAAAACAGACTCTCCCCCTTGTACCTTCAGAACTTTCAGGGACTTCTGGCTTTGTTGAGTTATCGCTATCTTCACTAGGTGACACAGCACTTTCTGTGGTCATCAGTTCTTCAAAGGCGACAGTGTCTGATGTGTCCTGTAGTTTTGTAGGCAACTACAGATGTGGAGGGGTTGCACAGATAGGAGGAACAAACAGAGAAATAAAGGTAAGGCCCATTTCCTTTTTAACAAACTCCGCCTAAAGCAAAACCATGTCCTCATTCATTCGCAGAAATCCCATTAATATGGAAACAAAATAGGAACAAACAGAGAAATAAAGGTAAGGCCTATTTCCTTTTTAACGAACTCCGCCTAAAGCAAAGCCATGTCCTCATTCGTCCACAGAAATCCCATGGGTATGGAAACAAAAGTCTTACCAGAATGGGTAGCAGAGAAGTTCTGATAACAAAGAAAAGTGGTGCATGGTTTGAAGTATGCGCCACATTTGGGTGGGAGATGATTGAACATTTCTCATGTTTGCTGGGTCTTCTCTGCAGAACAGGGTGTTCACGCAGTTTAATGTGAAAACCCCTCCTTTGATTCTGCTTTCCCTGTGAGTGAACTGGATATTTGCTGTCGCTTTCTGACCCCGCCCCCCCGGTATTCCCATAAAATGTACACACTTTCCACTGTGTGTCAATAAACGAGCATTATATATTATACACATACCAGATATAGAAATGAAAAACTTTATCAACTGCATGCAAAAACTGTACGACATGCAATAACTGGGAAAGGCAGAAAGTGGACAATGATGAACCTAGCTTCTTCTTCCTACCACCTGGTTTAGGCTGGTTTCATACAGAGAAGCCCATGTCATCCCATAAACTCCTCTCACACATCCTGTGATGCATGTCAGAGAAATGTCATTCATAAATCATCCCAGAAGGACACTTACTGGAGTAGGTGGTCCTGAGCCGTCACTGTCTCCTGTCGCCGTTTCATCTTCCAGTAAAACCGTACTTGCTGGGCAAAAGTAAGAGAGACTTATGAGTAAGCAAGAGAGTCAAATAGACAATAGTACATGACAACCGATAAAAAATAGCAGACAGATTGGGTTGGATCCTGCCAGTTTTTCTGCACTTCTGCATGCAACAGAGAGGAGGAGGGTTCCTTGACACACACCCCAAGAGCCATGTGGGAAAAGGCAGAAGGGAATTGAGTGAAATGGCATAGGAAAGCTGGGAAGATCTCCAGATTATCAGTAACGATAGCATATAAATGCATGTTAAAGTGATTCAATTTGGCTATTGGTGGGTCTGTCATAGGGTTGCCAGGTCATTACCTTCTGCTGGCGGGAGCGTTCTGCTCTCCTGGGTGTTCTGGCGTTCCGGAAGTGACGTCATCGCGCTTGGCACGTCATGAAGGGGACGCTCTAGCATTCGGCTAAAAACTCTATGCTCACCATATGTTCCCTTCTTCCTTCTGTGTCCCTGGTGTTTAGAACATAGACTCTATGGTCACCATAGAGTTTTTAGCCAAATGCTAGAGCGTCCCCCGTGTGACGTGCCCGGTGCAGTGACGTCATTGCACTGGGCACGACAGGCATGGCAGGGCTCTTCAGGGGCAGGGCTCCCCCCACTGGCCAGCTGGCTGGCAGCAAATTGGGCCCCCCAAAATCAGGGAGACCCCACCCCCATTGGGGGGGATGGCAACCCTAGTCCATCAAAGTAAAGATGATTTAGCAGCATCAAGAAAGCAAACAGCAATTAAAACAGGTTAGCACTAGTCAACGGGACTGCAGAGAGGTGCTCCAGGCCAACGTATAGTCTTGGGGCCATTCCCCCTCCCCGATCCAAAAAAACATTGTGTATGTTTAGTACATGGGCCAATATGGTAATAAATGATTTATATAGTTTAGTATGTAATATTTAGTAATGAGTAATTCATTAGTAGCCACAAAGGCTGAATCATTATTTAGGGAAATCAGTTTTCTATCTGACTCTGTGAACCAGTTCCTGGCAGGTGAAAGTTGGGGCAGATGGATCCTCCGTTTGTCCAGTAACCCAAAATAAACTATTATGTTTGGGGTCCTCAGCCTTGTGGGACAGTTTTCCCCGCTGCACTCTGCCAAGTAATCATTAAAATGTTCTAAACACCAGGGACACAGAAGGAAGAAGGGGACATAATCAGCAAAATTCCTGGGCCAATACAAAGGTTTTCACTGGGCACCTAAAACTTAAAAGACCTGGTGCCAACCAGATGGCTCAGAGGAGAGCTGTGGTGCCACTGCAGAAAAGCCCCCGTCCCCGGTTGCCACTCGCCATTTTCCTGAAGGAAGGTTGCACACACAAGGGGAGAAATCAGCCACACCCATTTCTCAAAAGGAGAATTTCTAAAAGTGGACAAAAGCCATTTGGATAGATTCAGGTGGGCAGCCGTGTTGGTCTGAAGCAGCAGAACAAAATCTGAGTCCAAGAGCACCGTTAAGACTGACAAAGTTTTCTTCAAGGTATACGCTTTCCATGTGCACGCACACTTCTTCAGATCCTTGAAGCTTATACCCAGGGGTCATTTCCTGCGAGAGCGCACAGGAGCGGAGCTCCGGCAGTAAAGAGCCCAGGGGGCGGGCACATGCAACAAGCCCCATCCCCTGCTCCCAGCAGCCCTCAGTCAGAGCAAGAAGCAGCCAGGTAAGCTGCAGAGCCCCCCTGCCCCCCCGTCCAAAACAGTCCAGTGGCACCTTTAAGACCAAGTTTTATTCAGGTACAAGCTCTCCCTCCTGCGAGGATGGATTTGCACGTCCCCCCCCCAATAGCTAGCAATCCAAAACCGTCCAGTGGAGCCTGAGCGGTGGGTGTTGCCTTCTGACACACTTCCGGTGATGTCAGGGGGTGTGGCATATGCAAATAAGTTACGCTGATGAGTAATGCTAATGAGCTCCTGCACCTCTTTTTCTATGAAATGACCCCTGCTTATATCATCTTGAAGGTGCTACCAGACCAGTGTTCCCTGTAAGCTGAGTTAGTGTGAGCTAGCTCACGGTTTTTTAGCCTCCAGCTCACGCATTTTTGTCTTAGCTCAGGAAGGATGGCTGCAGAGCAAACTAATTGATGCAGTAGTCCAATTGCTCGCTCACAACTTTAATGCCAGTCACTCGCAAAGTAGGATTTTTGCTCACAAGACTCCACAGCTTAGAGGGAGGATTGTACCAGACTCAAATTTTGTTCAAAAGCCATCTGTGACTTTCCTCTGTTATTACCACCCCCTCTTTCATCTTTCATTTCCCTCGTGGATTCCCATCTGTCCTTCCACACCTTAAGCTTCCAAACGGCATTGTTTTGTTCGACCTCTTCCTATCCAAAAATGTCATCATCTGTAGGGTGACGAGTGAAGGATTTGCGAGACTGTACGGTGAACTCTGTCAGCCAGGAAGCTTCAGTCTTCACTGCTGACCATTTAGCAAGCTTGGTTCATTGGGCAATTTCGATGCATTATCAAAAGCAAAGGAGCTAGATTCGAGTCCAGCGGCACCTTAGAGACCAACAAGATTTTTTGGGGGGGGTACGAGCTTCGGAGAATCAACGCTCCCTTCATCAGATACAAGCGAGACTCGGGGACCTCCATTCCTATTTGTATCTGATGAAGGCAGCTTTGACTTGTAAGCTAATACCATGAAAACCTCAGTCTTCTGGACAGAACAGGTGTCAAGGCTGGGATCATGGGCAGCAGACCAAGAGAGCTGGGGACAGGAAACATAAGCTGAGTGCCTTTGGTAGGGATGAGCCAAAGGTCAGCACCACGGAGGAGGAGCTGAGTGACCTCATCTTGCTGTCCTACTTTCCCACTTAGCCTGCATGCAAAGTGAGGCTGCCCTTTCTCTCTTTGCATTTGCTGTAGCCACAGGTCCCTTTGAAAGGAAAAAAATGTTGGAAATGTGTGTGTTGCAAGGTCTAAATCCAGTCATTATAGGGTTAATGCCTTTACCTTGTGTACTATTGTTTAGCCTGACCTGGGAGGGAACCTGGAAGAAAGCCAGTGGAGAGAAAGCCTGGGAAACTGAAGTCTATTTACTCACAATCATTGGTTAATGCATTCAGGTGATTTCCTTCAAGGGGTCAGTAAATACAAAAATACAGAATTACAATTACAATAATACAACAAATTGCTTTGTGTTGTTTCAAATGATGTGACAAAATTCTCCAGAGTCACTCTTCCGTTTCGTAAGAACTTCTTCCAACATCAAAACTCATCAAGATGTGTCCTCATTGGTTCACAGATATTCCATACGGATTCATCAAGGTTGAACAGCCCGCATTTTTGAATATGCTCTGAGTATTAGGAAGGAGTACAACTCCTGTTTGGGAAAACTGATGAATCCGTATGGAATATCTGTGAACCAATGAGGACACATCTTGATGAGTTTTGATGTTGGAAGAAGTTCTTACTGATCACTACACACTTCTTAAGTCATTTTTACAATTTTGTTAGCACGCTTTGCAGTATTTTTTTTTGCTTTTCTCTTGCTGAGCTCTGAGAAGCCGGCAAAGTGAGGAATGAAGGCAATAGCAGCCCCCTTTCTTTCCGTTTGAGCAACCGGTAGCAGAGATCTCAAGTTTAATTCCTGGCACCTCCAATTTAAAAAGGATCAGGCAGTAGGGGATGTGAAAGAGACCCCAGAGGGCTGCTGCCAGTCACAGTAGACAACACTGACCTTGATGGACCAAGGATCTCATTCATCACAAGGTGCTTTCGTGTGATGGTGTACGCATGAACTTTCCTCAAAGTCTGACCGAGGGAGACGGATTGATGGCAGATGAGTGAATCTGAGCTGAGCCCCCCCCCCCCAAGTGTGGAAGAAAACCAACTGCTTGTTGGCATGAAAAGAGACCAAAAGTCAATTTCCTCTCATTCTAGATATATCACATGCCAGTATTAAGATGTGCAGCCACTGGTCAGTGTAGGAGGATCATGCTCTGAATCCACTTAAGGCAGCGTCACGATGTGATCAATGAAGCTATCCTGATGACTGAGATTCGTGGCAGGGCAACTGGTACTCCCTGCAAGAAGAACCTTAGCACATCATGGAGAGAGGTGACGGAGAACCTTGATCCTGAGGTGCTAGGTTTCTAGCTGCAGGGTGGTGGGAACATTCTGAAAGGGTGTCCTCCACTTGCAGCCCTATCACCCCAGGCTTCGGCTACGTCATTCTCCTGCATGGGTTGGCCAGGCCAATGAAGGCAGGTCTCCACAGACTCCATCCTCATTATAGGGATGGGATTCAGCTTTGCAGCACAGCATGACAATCTTTAGTCCTCATCAGAGCTTGGAAGCTAAGCAGGGTCGGCCCTGGTTAGTACTTGGATGGGAGACCACCAAGAAAGTCCAGGGTGGCTACGCAGAGGCAGGCAACGGCAAAACCACCTCTGAATGTCCCTTGCCTTGAAAACCCTATGGGGTTGCTATAAATCGGCTGCAACTTGACGGCAAAACCCCCCACCCCCAGTGTTTAAAACTTCCAGCTCTGCAAACTTCAGTTGTTTCCAAGGAGGCTGCAAGGATGTCTCAGCTGTTCTGTGGAGGACTTCACTCTCTAACCAGCTTGTCTCTTCACTCCTGCCACCCCACTGGTATTCCTCCCCCCCCAGCTTTGATGTGGATGTGGCTGACACACTGCAGTCTGCGATGCTAACCAAGGGTGTAGACTTTCCAATTTCCCGGGGGGGGGGGCTGGGGATGGGCCAGAGGCATTGCTTTGCTAGGAGCAAGGGTGGCTCCCGGGGGAGGCTGAGCACCTTCCTGAAAATTTCGGCGGGGGCTGACGCCCCGCCGCCCCCACGAAGATTACGCCTATGAATCTGTGTGCCTTCCATTTCTAAGCCTCCAACAGCTCTCATGTTACTCACATTGAACGCCAGGTCAAAGAGCAATACAGCCAGCAAACTTGCCCATGGGGTTGTTGCCCCTGCCACGCCATGCGACAAGGGCTGATCAAAAATCTTCTGCATTGGAAACGGTAACCCAAA